GTGTGTGTGTGTGTGTGTGTGGTGTGTTCGTGAGTGTGACCGAAATTACTGATGCATGACTTTGAGTCCAGGAATTACTTTGACAGATTTCATCAATCTAACAGCACAAGATCATCAGCAGAATGTCGTGGCTTCCGGTTTACGCTTACATTCAAGGGGTCTCAGGGCACGTAAAAGTTTACAAGACTACCTGAAGACGTAGCCCTGCATCATATAAAAACAGAAGGGATAACTCGATAAAAGAACTAGAATTGTTTACAGTCACAAGAAGCCTGGAAGAAATATACAACAATTATCATGTCATTATTATATTATGTACAAAATATACAGCTAATTACAACAGGCATTTGGCTAAAATACTGGAACCAGTTTTCACCAAATTCTGGTTTGCAGACGTGACTGACCGCTTATAAATGTACCCCCCCCCCCCTAAAAAAAGAATTATAAGAATTACAGAGATCTTTCCCTGACAGGGAGAAATCATGTATGCTGGTATTACCAAAAAAAAAAATTCCCATTTAAAAGTCATAAAAGTGCCACAAGTCTGAGGCAAATTTTAAAATAATATTGAAAAAAGACCCCCCCCCCCTTCCAGAAAGAAAGAAAAAAGGAATAAGGCTAGTTAGCTGGGTTATGAGAATATTTTGTCTGACAAAGAGGCACTCAACAGCTCTCACATAAGCTTGCAAACATCTATGACTGACTTTTAAACAGGTACCAAAGAATATTATACAGCAACCCAAGCTAACATGGAATATTATTGCACTTGTAGTTGTAGCTCTCACCCCTTCCCCGTTTCTCTCTCTCTCTAGTCTCTCTCTCTCTCTCTCTCTCTCTCTCTCTCTCTCTCTCTCTCTCTCTCTCTCTCTCTCTCTCTCTCTCGGAAACATAATATTCCATGTACAAGGTCTAGGAGTGGTTGGAGGACACCTCTGTTAGGCCCTACTTTAATTCAGTTCCTTCCAGTTGTTACCTCTCTTCGTACATTTTGCTTCTTAACTTTCATTTGCTTGTTAAAATATATTTACACCTATGTACATTGTTTCAAAATAAAATATGTATTCAAACGTAGGATCACCCAGTACAAACTCTGATGTTATATTTAAAAAAAAGAAAGATCAGTAATAGGAGCATTTCAGAATGAAATGGCAATGCATATATTATGACATACAACATGCTTTTTTTAAATTACTGAACCATGAGTTAAAAAAAAAAAAAAAAAAAAAAATTAATATACCAATTCGGTACCAAAAATCATTGAATTATTTATAGAAGACTTGATATTGTGGGCATGCAGTAAATATAAAGCTACATGAAAAAGTTGGAGCCTTGCAGCCCAGTCAGAGGTTGTATCTGTACTGCGAGTATAAAATACAATAAGGTGTAGATAGATCTAGATTACTGTTGAGCACACTGAACTTCATGGAAAAGTACGTTTAATTACAAACAGTTTCTCATTTCATCTTTGCCCTCCACCCTCTCCAACAATTCCCATATCCCGCCTTCTCTTTTTCTTCTTGTTCTCCTTCTCGTCTTCCTTCCTTGCTTCTTCTTCTTCTTCTTCTTCTTCTTCTTCTTCTTCTTCTTCTTCTTCTTCTTCTTCTTCTTCTTCTTCTTCTTCTTCTTCTTCTTCTTCTTCTTCTTCTTCTTCTTCTTCACGTAACAAATCAGCTAGACTACACAAATAATGTAAATGGTAAATATTTGTAACAGTTTTGATTCGGGACCACTAAGTAATTATGTATGAGGTACACTTATATTAATTGCTACTGTTGAAATTATTATTATTATTATTATTATTATTATTATTATTATTATTATTATTATTATTATTATTATTATTATTATTATTATTATTTTTATTACTACTACTACTACTACTACTACTACTACTACTACTACTACTACTACTACTACTACTACTACTACTACTACTACTACTACTACTACTACTACTACTACTACTACTACTACTACTACGATACCGTTATTGTTGATGTCATACGACTGTTGTTGTTGGCAGCTGGTTAGTTTCTTAAGATGTACAGAGCGATATAAGTCACAAAATAGTTATGTATGTTCGAAAACATTGCAGTTATGCCTCTATATTCTGTGTATCGCTTTTTGAGGGTATGCACGCATTACAATCCCTCAAATAGGTTTGGCGAGTCCTTCAAAGTGATCGTTCATACAACAAGACAACCCTATGTCCGCCTTGTTTGGGCGAGTCCTTCAAAGGGAACCTTCAAACGAAAAGACAACCCGGGTTCGCCTTTTTTGACGAGGTCACGGAAGAAGATCAAGGGATGGCATGTCGGTTCTTCGTAGCACTTAAACCCCTGTCTCATAAAGATGTGCTTTCTGAGGTTTAGGCATGACCATCGGTTTTCCCGTTTGCTTCGTTGGTGACCAAAATGGCGGCGCAGAACCAGACTTGTGGTCGTCGAGCTGTGGCTGAAGGTTCAGGTCAGTTGGAGGCGGAGCGATAATGACCTTGACCTCGTGAGGTGGTGGGCTCGGGCTGTTCTGGAAAGTGGATAGCGGCCTCATAGGACTTTCTTCTCTGTATTCCTTGTCCCAACGTGGGATTTTAATTAGCTCCGGTTTCCCGGGCATCACGGGACTGTCAGGGATGTCCAGTTGGTTCAGATTGTCGTAATTCGGCTCTTCCTCGTCGTCATAATGCTGCTGCTTGAGCGGAGGCTGCTGCTGCTTCAAACTTCCACTTTCCATCGACTCCTCTGACTCGGAGTTCAAGGGCGTTACCATGGCCACGGGCTGCGAGAAGGTCACGCTTTTGCTGCGTTTTCCCAAGGGGCTTTTCGGTCCAGTGTTGATGAGCACAGCTTTCCTGTTGGCGGGAAGGGTGGTGTGCCCCTGGTGTTCGAAGCCGACAGGGGGCGGTGGGGGTGGGTAGGGGTTGTAGTTGTAGCTGTACACTCCGTTAGTATTCATAGTGTTCGTGTTTTGACCTCCATCGCCTTGGTTCGGGTCCTCTTTGACGATGGGCTTGACAAACCTCAGAGACAGGTCCCCCGGGTAGTGCACTTCTCTGTACGTCTTCCCGCCGGCTGACAGTAGCGGTTGGTTCTGGGCTGACGGGGGAGGGGTGGACAGGCCTGCAGGGAAGGGTGGGCTGGGCGTGGGGTCCCGGTGGAGGTGGTAATCTTCCGTGGTTGCCACGGTGACGAAGCCGTTAGGACGCAAGTGAGCAGCGGCCGGGTCGGAGTCATCGTCAGAGTGACCTGGGTTGGAGAGAAATAATGGAATTTAAAAAAAAGCTTTTGAAAGTTGAAGGTTCAACAAACGTCATACATAAAAATAAACTTTCGCTTGGTTTTTGTAAGAGTTTTACGGCACTTGCAACATAATTACGTCATATAAGAGCCGAAGATTAGAGGTGTTACAAGAGAATAACAAACACAAAAAGAAGAAAAGAAAAGGACGGTAGAAGTTTGATAGAAAGGAAAGAGCAAACCACACCAGAGCACCCAACACCCACCCACTTACCTCAAGTTTTGTCCAGAGATTACAGAAAGAGTACTTGCCATCTAAATAAACAATTAATACGAAACATTATAAAAGGGCAAATTAGTGATTGTAAGGTGTAAAAGTGCTTGTGAATATCTGCGACCCTTAAAAAAAAAAGAACATTTTTTTTCATGGAGAGCTGCTTCAATCATGTCTGTCAGAACCAACAACAAGCTGCATGAGATATGGCATCAAATCAGAAAGAAGGATATACTCGATAAAATAATTTTCCCTCACGATTATCAACTCACGCCAGATGACAGTGAAGTTCAGTTTGGAAGAACGATTTTATTATAGTCTAAAAGTGTTTCAGTAAACTATAAGAGCTACTCAAACTTGTCTACATAACGCTGATCGTACAGTTGACGCTCCAAAATTGTTCGAATCCAGTATGATTTTATTTGTTCGTCTCGTCTGTCCTGAAAAATGACACTTCGCTAAGAACGATGTCTTGTCATAGGTCAGAGCGATTGCCTTGACAACGTGGTCGCCTTCAAAACGACCTAATCTGCTTTTTTTGGTTTTGTTTGTAAGTGTCTTACTGTGATCGCAACTGCATAAGCTCATATTAGCGCGCGGAATACATTAAACTATTTCAGCTGGTAGGAAATTTTGAATTTTGCCCAGGTGGCGGCCGAAGCCTATTCTTATCGATTTTAGACCACAAAGGGATCTTTAACGTGCGCAACATGCACACGGGCTCTCGGAAATCTGCTTCTAGAAAGGCAATAAACTTAAATCGTAAAAATATTCTTTAGAAAGCTCACGAAGACTTGGGAAGAATGTATTAACTGTTCAAAAACAGCAGATGTAATGAGAAAGGGAGGAGCTTCCAGTACCTTGTAGATGACGTCGATGTTCTCTGTCCTCCTCGTCCGCCAGCGCCGCCATCTTTTTGGGTGATCTATTTATAGAGCAGAGGTGATCGTCGTCGTAGTCATACCGGCAATAGGAGGCCAAGTCCAAGGGTTCAGAGTTCACAGCCGGGTACATCTCCAGAGGTTTAGCAGCAAGTTTCTCTCGCCTCATGCTGAACGAAGATTGGGAAGAAAGACCAAACAAACGGGTGAGGGTTGCAATTTGTGAGTAACGGCGAGTCAGCATCAAGAACAGCCTGATTCCAATTAGTATCAAATTAATGTCCGGTGTGTTGGTTTTAATGTTCTCTTCAACATTTTAAGGTTATTTAATACGAACTAAACATTCAACATCAGTCTCCGAAAGGACATATCTAAGCGGGTAGAGAGCCCCAAGAACTCCCCCGATGTTAAAACAAAATAGATTCTTAATTTTATTTGGGCCTTTGGGTGAGAGTATGGACAGTGTCTTTACATAACATTCCGAGACAGACAGACAAACAGACAGACAGACAGACTGACAAACACACACACATACACACATATAGAGAGAGAAAGAGAGAAAGAGAGAGAGAGAGAGAGAGAGAGAGAGAGAGAGAGAGAGAGAGAGAGAGAGAGAGAGAGAGAGAGAGAGAGATTATTTCTTCATTAATACTAAACAGAAAATCCACCAAACATGACGTACCGTCTACAGTGCAGGGCAAGAGCTATGATGACGGCGGCGATGAGGATAAAACCAGCAACAACAATGCCACCGACGATAGCAGCTGAGAAAAAAATAATGGGAGACGCATTGTCATCTTCCTTGTTTTAGTAAGTGTTTTATGGCACTTTCAACACAATAAGGTCATATAAATGCAGACGATTAGAGGTGTTACAAGAGAGTTGCAAGCACAAAAAAAGAAAGAGGAGAAATAGGTGATAAGGACATTAGACGTTTGATATGAAAGAAGGAGCAAATCACACCAGAGCACTCGCAAACCACCCACATTGTCTTTTTACAATGTCTTTATGAAGCAAATTGAACAGACCGGAACAATGAGCTTTTGTTTATTTTTTAAAAAATTCAAAAATTCAAAAACATATAATATTTCAATATTCGAAATTGTGAAAGACAGCCGCCAATAATATTGTTGAGGAGAAAAGTGCTCTTAAACTGAATTATCCGTCTCCTTTTTACGGTCCGAGCTAACCCTGCGGACTGCATGGGTTCATATACCGCTAGATTCGATTATGTTGCCATTGAGGGAAGCTGGGTGTCTGACAATTTAAAAAAAAAAAATTATTGTGGGATTTTTAAATTAT